GCAGGAAAAGAGAGAGAAAAGCTTTCTGCAGTCTCCGTTAAATTAAACTTCTCAGGTTTTAATGCCGTTACCGTCTAGTCCACGTGAAGCTGTAAACCATACCAAATGCAAGTCCTCCTTACAGGAAGGAAAAAACCCCACAGTGTGTACATTTTCCAGCGAGCTGAACGCGGTTATTTTACAGCGCCAGGGACGATGGCCTGTCAGTGTTGCCTCCATCCCCACCGCGACAAGGCTTGGCCCCACACGTCCTGCTTTGCCCGCTGTGGTCCTCCCGAAGGAGAGTGGAGTGGGAGTAAAGTGCAGCCTCCCCTGCAGTAAAGATAAAAATCTTAAAAATGCTGCCTCCCGGTGAAAAACTGTCACAAATGGGCCTGAAGAGGCTCTTCTCTGCGACAACACAGCCCTGCGGGACTCGCTGGAAGCCATCGCTAACCAAGACAGATTGCTTCAACACCGCCCTTCTGTTACCGTGTGTGCTGCAGCGCATTTGGTTACTGGAGCCCTGCCCTGCCCTTGCAGAGTTCTAAACGGGAGCTTCGTCTGCAGAACGGGTCTGCCTTGGTCGCTTCTCAGGGGGAATTTTCCAGATGTGCCAGGTAGCGGCAGTTTTGCAGGTGCTCAGTGTGATGTTCACACGATACTGGTCTTAAAGTTGTTTTTCCAGACCCTGCTCCTGTTAACTTTGTAGTTAACAGTTACGTGATTGTTAGTTTGCCATGTTCAAGGTAGATGGGTTGGAACTTTATAAAAACTGACTTAATTTGTAAACCCAGCATTGCTAAACCACTGCTTACCCCTTGTGTAGGTCCTGCATTTCAATTTCTAAACCATGATAACTGACTGTTCGTTTAATTAACTTCATGGAACCAAGTAACTTCTTGAGCATCCGTGTCCCCAGAAGTCCTGGTGTGTCTCCACAGGCTCAAAGGAATACAGGGTTGGCCATTTAAATGCAGCAAATAGTGCTTTACTGCCCTGTTGCTCAACTAATTCGAGTTCTTACAGGCTGAGCAGACCGGTCAGCGGGGCTGATCTGCTCACAGAAGTGGATTTTGAAAACTTTACTCGTGCTCTGAGCCTCTGCTTTTGGTTTCAGACAGGCCTCAGCTGCTTTCACTGCACACAATTTGCTTAACAGAGCATCTAGATTATTGCCTAGAACTAGAGACAATCGATACCTAGAAGTCAGAGTTAACTAAGGGAAAACTGCTTACCAAAGCCCTATAAAGTCAGCACTATAAAAATAAAGGTGATTTAAACTTCAACTTAGTATTAACTTAATTGTATATATCTTTTTAGATACGACTCCTCAGGGTGATTTATAAATGTATAAAATGAGGGGCAGCAGCTCGGGTCTGTGGAGATGCCAAACTTACTGCAGCAGAACATTCTCAATTTTAACCTCGTGATTTTGTCCAGCCCGATTTCAGAGCAGAGGCCTAAAAACCTACTTTAGGAAGTAAAAGGCTGGTGAGTTTTTATGGGTTTTTTTTTTTCCTTTAGTATAATCACTTACTAAATGTTTCCTTGTGTAAAATAATTATCAGATACATTAGCCATACTTAAATATTATTGCAAGCAAGGGTGTCACATATCCCGAGAGGGAGCTGAACAACAAAACATCCTTACTTTAAAGATGCAGTGTTTACACAGCAAGCACTGTCACCTCAAGCTGATGCACTGCTTTAGTACTAATTTCTGTATTCTAAAAATGTCACAACTTTTCTATTTATTCTGTTTTACCTTCTGAAAATGGCCTAATACTGTAACTGGTGTAAAACAGTAGTTTTGGCACTGACCTTGTGTTCACAAGTCAGTAGACAATAATTCCTCATGTTAGATGCCATTTATTTATATTTGTCCAAACATTACTTGTCCAAACGTTCTGGTCAGGAAAATGGACTCGTTCATTTCGAATTCCGTATTTTTAGAAACTGGAGGGCGATGGCGCTGACGCAGCGTGCCCGTGACCTCCCCACCCTCCACTGATGCTGGACGTCGCAACCGCGGAAGCACCGCACATTTTACCAAATCAATCAGCGTCTCCTGCCACCCCCGTGCCTGGCGGTGAGTCCCAGGCTCTCCTGATACACAGTGCGCGGAAGCCGTGCTTTGCGCAGCGCTTGGACTCCCCCAACTAAATGTGGCAACTACTCCCCGTGAGGAAGGCGCTCGGTTTCCATGCCTGGGCCACTAGACGGAGCTAGGAGCCCGCTCACCGCCTGGCACCGGCACCCGCTCAGAATGACGAACTAAACCGGGATCTGCCTTCAGAATGAAAAGCTCAACGGTCGTGCCTTTAGAATGTGCTATGTGGGTTAAACCTGGGTTAAGTGTGAGATAAATTAAGCTTGTAACACCACTGGGAAGAGCCTAAATTCTTTTTAAGTGCTGGAGAAGGTGACTAATTACAAGTGGCACTTCACACATCAGTTCTCTGCCATTAGAAACCATCATGACCTGATGGACAGATGTCACCGAGGGAGCTACTCAGGCTTCAGCAGCAAAAACCTTCCACAGCCGCATGCGGCGAGGACGAGCTCTCAAATGTGTGCAAACCACTTCAACCAAAGTGCATGCTGCCCCGCTGGGACACATCCTGCCACGCTGCTCCAGAGCTCTGCCAGTGTCTGGCAACTCTCCACATGCAGGATATGTTATTAAGGCAGTGGAGGATCAGACCCTACACCGTTTAGGTTGCTTAAGCAACAGATAACTTAGTTTTGTCATCTAACAGCTCTATGTATCACAACCAAATCTGGCACAACTGGGAGGTTAGAGAGGTCCAGAACTGGATTCAAGACTGCTTAGAAAACTTAGAGCACAGGCAGGCACAGCACATGGATGTGGAAGACGGCAGAAAGCTTCTCATCTCTGTTAGTCCTTTGTCTTTAAACCTAAAGAAGCTGTAACTACTTTTTTAAGGAGTAAAAGTCAAGAACCTTACCAGAGATCATTGGCATGAATGTCTTTGGCCAGGAAAGAGCTACTACAAAGGTGGGACCCATGCAGAGAAAAGTGAAGGTGCTAATAAAACAACTGGTTTTGCAGTTTGACAGCTGGAAAGTTGAGAGGGCTGATGTGGGAACTGGATTGGCCTGTGAGTGACAGAGGAATTAATACCCAGGCGAGTCTGCAAACCAGTTCTGTGCTGCTCTGCACTAGGTGTTCTCCTAAATCCTGTGAGCGTGGCTCCCGAGCGGGCTGCCCGTCCACTGCTGCTCCACAGCTGCTTCGGGAGCCTGTGAACACGCCCAATTCCTGCCACCTCATCTTCCTGCCTCCGCCGAGCGCCAGAGCAGCCAGCCAGCCAGCTGTGCTGGGGAGAAGGCCGGGTGTCCCTCAGCAACACCCACCAACCTCGAGAACCCGAGCTGCGGGGGCTCCGCAGCAGCAGGGAGCCTTTTTAGCTCAAGTGGCATCGGTCGTTAATGGCTTTTTTTTGGAGCTGTTCCAGCCCCAACCCCTCAAATGCCTGAGATGGATGATTAGTGATGTCTCTGCTGGGCAAGCGTCCCTCTGCTCTAGGTTCTGCAGGTTGCTGGGTCTAATTCTTCCTTGCCTGGGCAGCTGTTTGGACAAACGTCCAGGCCGTGTCCTACAAAGAAAAGCCACCACAACGGACACCTCATCTGTGAAGGAGAAAGGAAAGGCAAACGCTACCTGTGCTGCGAGCTCTGCCTGCAGCACGGCTTCGATACTGCAGCCCTGGCGTTACTGAGTACGTGGTTAAGCGCTCTCATGAAAATATCACACGAGGTTTTTCACTGCACAGCGTTCTGACCTCAACTACCTTTCCAAAATAAAACAACCGAGGCGCTCTGCAATTATTAACATTTCCTGTTAGCTGCAAAGTTGCATTTCAAATTCAGTGGTTCAAGAGATTTAAAAAGTCTGAAACCTTCCATCCCCCAGGGGAGGACCAGAGCCAGTGGGTGCCTGCTGAAACAGAGCACACCAGACGCTTTCCTACTTCGGCTTTTCACTTGTCCATTCCTCGGAGTCAAGGGGCTCTGCCCAGAGGCTGGGGTGCGAACGGGCAGCTAAAGGATACGTGTACAATTTGAACAGCACTGCTAACAGCAACAGATCCAATTAAGAGGTGAGATTATCTCCAAACAAACTAAACAAGGAAAGACTAAGATGGGAATTCCTTCCTGAGCAGAAATCTGTGCTCTTTTATTTTTCTGTCTTCAGGGACATACACTTGCTCAGCGCAACAACATCACGTCACAGGGTTTTAGGGTCCTGCAAGCCCCTTGCCCAAAAATGCTACAGGTGGGTGATGCGAAACAGGTCACGTTTTAACTGAGAAACAGACGGTGTTGGTTAGTGTATTACATCCCTGACTCACCTCAGGACACGAACGCCGACAACCTCCACCACCCTGAACAGAAGGGACTTCAGCGCGTGGTCCGGGACCACGTTTTGCAGGGAGGGTTGTTGTAAGACACGACATGGGTAAGCAGGCATCCAAAATCCTGACCTCCAGCTTGGGCCCTGGCTCTGTCCCTCCACCTCGCGTTGCCCTGTCACTCCATCACGAAGCAGCCGGCAAAGCCAGATGTCAGGCAAACTCCAACTTGTCACGGGTTAAACTTGCAGTAGTCACGGATTGCAAAATACAATTAAATACTGAGAGAGTCAGACCTAAACGTATTTTTATCTAGATTTAGCAGAAGCTTTTATCTCTGCAGCGCAATTGCACCGCCTGGAATTTATACCCAGAAACGATTCTGAAGTGGTCTTCCCCTGGATTAACAACACAAATTAATCTGCAGTGGCACCCGGAAGTCTTTCGTAGGCCTGACTTCCATCTAGGTAGCTCTAAGGAATGCCCCGTGTTGATTAGTTTCCCAAACAGTCCCTAAGGAAGTTAATTTTATCTTCCTTTACATGCCTATGAAAAGTCCATGCCGAAAAAATAACGTTAGGGTGACTCTCGGTGAAGGGCAGATGCTCTCCTATCACAACAGAGCTATTTTTTGATACGGAACGTGTCAGACCTCGAAGTATTTTGCTGAAGTTTAACATTGGCTGCTTTGAATACAGGACGGCCTAGAGGAAATATGATTAGAGTAACGCATAGGCTGAATAAACCTGTGGCTTCAGGTAATTCGGTAACTAAGACCTAATCACATGCTTGGCAGGGATTTATTGGAGGGAGTGGGAGGTTAAACAAAGTGCGAGAGCCAGTTCTGTGGTAGCAGGCAAGGAATGGGCTCCTCTTCCTCCTTCACATCAAAACCAGGCCAAGAATTGCAAACCTTTTCCTACGCAAACCTTATCACTGCAGATTAAAAAAGAAAAGAGATGAGAAACACGAGAGAAAGAGTCAAGCAGCGTCGCTCCTATCACTTGCTGTTAAGCGGCAGCGCTGCCCTGGCCCTGCCGTGTGTTCAAACAAACCTTTGACCACCAGAAATGAGAGGGAAGGAATCACATGAAAAGCCTGCAGTGGGCTTGCAAAGAAAATCCTGAAATGGAAGGTTACAGTTAGTTTCTAAGGAGCAGCAAGGTCACAGGAGACGTGTACGTGGGAACAAATTGTTTAGAATCACTCGATGCTTCTGTTGTATTGCTCCTTTTGTTAAGCAAAGAACAAAGACCGCAGGGATCTGCTCCTTTCGTGTAGAATCTTAACGGTATTTACTAGAGCTTCCTACTATGTTTAAAACGTACGAGTTTGTCTGAAGTTCCGAGCGAGGCCAAGAGCCGCTGGCAATTACTGTTCTTCTGTTTTGCTGCTATTCCTGAACTTCACCACCATCACCGTTATATTATCAGGACATCCTCTGTAGAAGGACTGTAGAACTATACTCTTGGCACCAAAGTGCGGTTCATCCAAGCGTTCCTTGATGAATCGAACGGCTTCCTCGTTGCTGAACGCATCCCACAGCCCGTCCGACGCCAAGATCATGAACTCCGGCTGCAGTTTGTCCAGGTCAAAGGTAAGGATGTCGGGGTCGGGAATGACAACGTTCAGGTTCTTCAGGGGGTAATCTCCCAGCGAGCGGGACATGGCCAGGATCCCCTGAACGCGCCAGGAGCCGTTAAAGCTGATAAAACCACCTGGAGAGAAACACCGACACGTTAAAGCAGTTCAAGTTAAAGCATTTCTCTGGCTTTCCCGCCAGACCCGCCTCCAAAAATCCATCCTGATGTCACCCACAGACTTTACCTATTTCAAAAAAGCAGGAGATGCCTGAGGGAAAGCTGGGAGCGCTGCGGGGAAGGGCTGAGGCAGAGCGGTCGGGAGCAGCTCTGCTTTCCAACGAAGCAGCTCCATGTTCTCTGCTTTCCCCCGAGAGACCCAGAACTTACTGAACACAGGCGTGCCTGTCCTACACAACGGACCGCTCAGAAAGCCTTGGGGCAGTGCTAAGACAGAAATAGTGGAAGCAAATCTTTCCGTTCTTGGGTCACTAAACAGCTCCTTTCTACTGCCTAGTTCATGCTTTCTCTGTTTCAGATCTGCGAAGGAAACGACACTGACAGCATCTCACAGCAGGACTCGCATCTTGCTTTTACGGCACAAAGCAAAGGAACAAGTGCAAAAAACACACATTTATCGAACCCTCTGGAGTCAGCTGTGACAAAAAGGACCAAAGAACTGCCGGGAACAAACCCATCACGAAATTTTACTTTTGAGTCAAGAGAAACGCAACGTGGGATCGGACTGAGTGATTTTACCGCCACCAGCACTACGGCTGCTTCTAGGGGGAAATGTATTCTTTTATTTCGGAGGTGCTCCCAGCGAGCGATGTTTGCACTGAAGTCGGTGTCTGAAGGTGAACGAGAAGTCACTCGAGGACAATTTGCAAACATGAAACGTTAAAACGTATGACGAAATCAGGTGAACTCCCGTCTTTTACACCTGCAAGCTGGCTGCTTCAGTGTTGTGACACGTCTCTTGGTTCTTTGTGGTTATCAGAATGTTTTCAGCTCCACACTTCAGCCTGTGCACTGTCAGTCACCTCAGTCTTACGGTGGCACTTCCATTCCTCATTGCCTGCTCTAACCTGTAAATTCCTTCTGCTTTCAGGTGAAACTGTATTTCATTTAATGACTCCTTTGTTGTTCAAAGCTTGAAACTTAACACTTGTGTTAAAACCAGCAGAAAGATTAACTTTTTTAACTGGGTATTTTCATGAAGGCTTCTACGGAGTCACCATCATTCCTTCCATGGTCAAAAACAAAATAAAAGGGGAAGGGCTGGTGAACCTACCGCAGCTCCTCCTCAGATGTGCAAACCCACCTTCTGGTGGAAGAGCAAACATCCTGTGGCACTGGCTGCCACGGGAGGAGAAAAGGCATTAAAGAAATAGAAGCTTTTTGGCAGCAGCACAAACATTCTGCCTGCGAGCGAGAGCTGAGCTCAGAGGGTTATGTTCAAGGTGAACGACTTAAATTTCCCTCCGTGTCGGTCACCTTGTGGCTCTGCAGCCGAGTGCTCCTTCACAAGCCAAGCCCACGGGTGTCTGTCCTGTATGGAGCGCCAAGCAGGGGTGTTCCAAAAAGCATTCCCAGCAGGACACACTGGATCATACGGTTTCAACAGCACTAGGAGGTCGTATCGACCGTGATAATCCAGTGAGGCAACAGCTACAGAGAAGAGAATTCATGAAGTGCCCAGGCTGGACCGGGTATTCCTTGTTTAGCTGCAGACAGTTACAACCTGTCTGTTAGAATAATTTCTTCCCAAGCTGGAAATTCCTGCGAAAATCCAGGTAAATTTTATGTGTCTTCATGTTATAAAGCCTCACTTCTAGACAAATGAAATAATAATTTTTTTTTCTCCTAAGTGAAGGCCTTCCCCAAGGGGACAATTGCAGGGAGACCCTGGCCTTGGCCGAGAGGGAAGCACTTTGTTACAGACGGATCTCTGCGTTTTACTCATACATCCCCTCAAGCACAGAGCTGAAGCAAAGCCAGACCAAGATTTTCCTATTCCTTCTTCTGAGCATCCGTCTCCTTTTTGTTCCCCCTTGGGGACCGTGGGTGACCTTGGCTCTCTGCCCAGCAACAGGAGGATCCCGCTGCTCTTACGCCTCCTCGGTGACAAAAGCAAACAGAGAGGAAAGGACACGTTGCGCGTGTCCGGGCGTTTCTGCTGCTGTGAGCGTACTGACAACCTGTAGGTTTTAAAAACATTTTAGGCTCAGGGAAAAACTCGTTATTTCCACTTTACAGATGAAGACGTGGAGGCAGAGAGGCAGCGCGTCCCTGGAGGCGACGCTCATCGGCAGGGTTAACGCAAACAAGAGGAACTATTTTTTTTCTTCCTTCATTGAATATATTGCTGCTGAGGGAGCCAAACCAGAAATGGGTACTAAAGAGACTTTGACAAATTCCTGGAGAACTGGCTCTTAACCATGATGATCCAAACATAACTCCTAGCCCAGAAGGTCGCTATTTCGACCCGCAATGAAAGCGAGAAAGATCTGCTGCGGACAAGTTGCTGTTACACTCTTTCACTCCCCTTTTCCACTCTGCCCCTCCCCTCCTGCTACAATTTACATGTTTGTGCTCAGTAGCAGCCGCTCTGTGCGAACAAAAAGGAGCTCTGAAGAATGAAGATTTATATTCTGCTTATTTTAAGGACTCAAGCTCGCTCAGCTTCAGACCCAGCCTCTCGCGTAGAGGCTGCCGATGCGGTTTGGTGTGAAGGAGCTGTAATTCCTGTTTATTAATGAGCTCCCTGCAGAGATCACAGGGAACTGGCCGGGATGGTCACCCGGCTCTTGAAGATGAAGGCGGCTCTTCGTCCTCCGACACCAGCTCATTAAGGGGTAATTCAATCTGCTTCCATTTCTCTGGCTGCACCACAACATCCCCCTGGAAAGTGCTGGATTAATAACGGCAGATTTTATCTGCCGACGCCTCAGCCTAGTACTTTCCAGTCTCCCTCAGGGAAAAAGTCCATATTATTGACAGAGCAGAGAAGGAAAAAAAAGATGAGCCTTCAATCCAAAGCAAAAACGTTACAACTCACCGGCTCTTTTAATCCTCTTCCTCTCTTTCAGCTGGTAGGGCTTGTGATCGTGTGACAAGGGGATGGCGTTGCCGTCCTTGTCGCACAAGACTCCGCGTGAATCCCCGACGTTGGCCACGGTGAGCTCTTTGTCCGACAGCAGCGCGATCAAACACGTCGTACCTGGGGAAAAACAGAAGGGAACAGGAAGCAAAACAACTACGTGGGGGTTGCACATATATTTATATATAAATGATGAGCAGGAAAACGTCCTTCCTATTAATAACAGCAGCGAGGGGCTGAGGTGGGAGGCACATATTCCAGCCTGCGTCTGAGCTGGCTTTTCCTAACGGCCAAGGAGAGTAATAAGAGAAAAGGATAAATTAGCCCCAGAGCCCACGGGCCGCTTCGATGAACTGGAAGTGCTGCACTGGACGATGCATGGGTAAAACAGCTCTCCCCCCTCGTCCCCTCAAGAACTGAGGTCAGGTTTTATAAAAAATAGGAAAAAATTCGACATTTCTAATGACTTGAAATGCACAGAAAATGCAATTAGTCGTTGATCACCATCTCCAAGCAGACACAGTGGTTGTTGGCTATGGTGGCAGGAAAATATCAGAAAAATTGGCTGGTTTTCAAATGCAAACACTCTCGGTTTTGTTTTCCTCGTTTAAGTGGAATGGATGTCGAACAAGGCAGATCCCATTAAGACGATGCTTCTTCTGTATTTTCCCCTTCCAGCTAGTGCGAGCCGTATTCAGAACAACTCCAGCTATTACAAACACTCTGCACAGGCTTTCGACCAGATGCCACAATTTCTTTCAAGCTTTAGAATCCAAAGACAGCAAGTAAGTTTTTAGTTGTCGGTTAAAAGGCGCTCAAAGGGAACACGCCTGGCACTCGGTTCTGATGGCACGGCGCGGCTCCAATTCTTACGTAAAGTAGCCTGTTATCCTCCAACAGCACATAAAATGAACCTAACAGCTGCTTTCTTTTCCTTTTGGGAAGACCAGAGAAGCACATGGTTGAGTTCCCACCTCTCTTGTTAATTTATACATGATTAGTCATTAAAATAAATATGAGGGTTGAAGTCTCTGCTCTGTGGCCTTAAAGCTGAACTCTCAGAGCTGCCGCTCGTCGCGTCGTCTGAACCAGAGTTAAAAACTATTTCCCGCTGTTCCCATGTCAGTACTTGAATATCCCCGTGACCAGGATAAATAAAATTGCCGGTAATAAATAATTTGTGTTTAGATGCGCTGTGTTCTGAAGATTTATTTTTAACTTCTTGCATAGCTCTAAACTAGAGCTATTTTTTCCACAAGACAGGCATACATGTATGTGTATCTGTCTATGTATATATGTATAAAAAAAATAAGCTCTGCTTTGGTAAGAAGATTACAGCAATAAACAGCATCTCCTCTTGCTTTTATTTATGAACCCTTCCTTAAGACACGTTCAAGCCACATCGTAAGCGTAAGGATTTTTTCTAGTGAGGAAAATACTGCAAATTTTTCTAGTAAGGAAAATAACTGCAAATAACATCCTACAGCCCAGGCATTTCGAAAGTAAAATGCTTCACAGCTGTCGTCATTATGACCACAATTTATATAAAAATGATAACTTTGAGCACAGTCTTCTTGGTTATATGCTCTGTGTGAATGGACGAGAACGAGGGTCAGAACTGAGATAATTTCCAAAGTGATTTAAGAAATTTCAGTTGTTTCACGGTCTCTGACTGATGGCTGGGCTCTCCTCGAGTCCCCGACCTCACGCTACTACATGAGAAAGCCGACTTCTTCCGCTCTGTTTTCCTTTCCATCTATTTTTATTTCAGTCATTTAACCTTGTGCAGAGTTAGAAAACATCGTGCTCTCATCAGCCGCCTCAGATTTAATGCAATTGCACAACGGAAAATTCCCAACGTAAAGGATCCAAAATTGAGAACACATGTTCTATTAGTCCCTCGGTGCAGCTGCCTGAGCAATACCCTGCTGAGCAGCTCACAGAGAAAACCACCAGAAAATTTAAAACCCACACTCTATTGGCTGCAGAAATAGGGGGTTTTGTTTGGGTTATTTTTCTGTTGCCTTTTTTTTAAAGTCAGGTAAGATTATTGGGGTTGTATTTCAGTATCAGACAAGGCACCTTGTAAAAAGTCAAGGCTGCACCGGCTCTACCCACCTGCCTCAGCTGCTGCCGTCGAGAGCAGCCACGTGTCTCCCGAATTTCTGTTTTACGTGGTCTGCGCACGCCCCTCAGGCCACGCAAAGAAAACTTGGATTATAGCCTGTGGAACAGGCAAGACTGAGCAAAACACCCCGGGTGTAGGAGGGAGGGCACGGCAGCCTCCTGCCTCCCCGTTACTGGGAACACGGGTAGAAAAGGACGCGGAGGGAGGAGAGAGGTTGGAGACCGTCAAGATTGTGAAACGCCGCCTCCGCGTGCCCTCCGAGTGACCCACCCATCCTAATCCAAAGCCACAGAAATAAATCGAATTATCCGCCGCTGATCCGTAAGGCGAGCAACGATAAACCCCAGCAGCAGACGTTCACGGTTCGCTCGTGCTGCGGCAGCAAGAGGAGCCGCGGGAACTGCAGGGGCTGGAGCTTCTCCTTGCTCCGACGCTGCCCAAACCCCCGCGGCTGCACGGCAAAGGAGGGACAGAGCAGGCCCTGGAAAGAGCCGTTCTCCAAAGTGGAAAAAGAATTATCTCAACAACCTGCAACTGGGGTGTGGGATCACCGTAAAACCTTTTGCTGAGATGGACCTTTCGCCGGATCCCAACGCTCGGCGGCGCCTCCTCCTCGGCTGGTTTCTAATCCGAGGCGCAAATTCTCCCCCACATTTTCGGCTGCTCTAAGGACGTTTGAGCTTTCACTCTAGATCTGGTGAAAGGCCGAGCTAATTGTGCTCATTTGCACTTCTTGGTCCCTCGTTCCTTTAGAGGCTATTGAAAAAAAAAATCCTGAAAATCTAAATTCTGATGATTCCTTACTCAACATAATGGTTTTTTTCCCTCAATTTGAGAGCTCTCTCTTTAAAACAGATTAAAAGCAACATCATGTTCTTAGAGATGAAGTCACTTTGAACACTTCTGAGCTTGTAGCTTAATTTCCATCACAAAACTATTCCTACCTGGCTGTATGCAGCACTATTTTAAGATTTTCTATTTGAAACAGAGAACTATATTGTATTCCTAATTACATCGATCCTAGTTCCCCGTCTAATCAATGAGTGTGTAGATATAATTCAATCTTGTTCATCATTAATGACATTACATTCATCATATACAGTAATTTAGGATATACTTCCAGACTAATGGATTCACGCAGATGAAGCTACGTAAAAAAAATACCTAAAAGTGTCTTCCAGGCAGGAAAACAAGAGCTGGAAGGAAGTTTTCTGCATCAGGTAACAAAAGTTAATTACCCAAACCAGAAACCCTGTTGGGCAGCCTCTCCATCTTCCCGACCGCTCGGACGCTGCCTCAGGTTAATCAAACTCAGGAGCTGATCGCCCTCCAGCACTCGGCCAAAAGTCACCTGGGACTGAACTTTATTCCTTCGCTGTTTTCCAGCTGTATCTTCCAGTTGTCTGGATCAATCCTCACTTTACCCATTTGCCAAACCTCATCTGCCCAGCGTCTATTTTTGGGGGGCAAAGTCATCACCTCGGAAATCACCCTCCTGGCACGCGGCCGAGTGAAACCAGCAGAGCTCAGTGAAACAGCGCGGGGTTTGGGGGAACTTTTGTACGAGGAGAGCAAATCCCACGGGCAGCTGGAGCCCAGGCAAACACCTTCCCAAGGACAGGCTCAAGCCGCTGGCAGACAGCAGCTGCAGCCCATAAAAGATGGAAAAGATGAACATGGAGGATGCAAAAAGCACCAATATCGCTGAAACTCAGCCGCAAAGTGTCACAGCACAAGAAGAGCCGCTTTTCGCTTGTTTATCACCGACTTGTTTGCCTTGATGGGCTGTTAGAGGTCAGGGATAGCGTTTTTAAGGAAGCTTCACTTGAGAAGAGAAATCCTCCTTCTGTCCTCGCACCTTTTTCCTCCTACACCTCCCATGTATAATTCAAACGCCAGGAAATGATGGAAAAGGGGAGCAGTGATGGATTGTGGCAGGCGAAGCGGTTGTGCAGAGCAGGGCTCGGCGCGGGAGCTCAACGCTGCTGCAAGGCCACACAAAGATGTTTGCAAGACTCCGGATATTCAATTTTAAATCTCGTGAGGAAGGGTTTGGCAAAAGGTGTAGCCAGGGGTGATTTTGTGCTGCTCCACCCCGCTGCAGCGATGCTCGTCCGGGTAACGATGCAAGAAAATTTAAAACGGATCTCCAGAGGTCTGTCGGGTTCTGGGGCAGAACAAACTTTGCTGCTTCCCCGCTGCTCGCGAGACCCTTCGGGCGTCTGTCTCTGTGTCGGTGAGCAGGTGACAAACGCCTGCCGAGATGGATTGTTTTCTTCCAGAGGCCTGGAACGGATCTTCTCTCTGCCTACGTGGAATCTGCAACAAGCTGTCCCTTCAAATGCCATCCCTGTCTGATATCTTTTTAACAAATAATTAAAAAAATTTAGAAAAATCCATGCTCACATCTGCCTGCTTGTGTCTGAAACCGAGGGAGCACGCTACGGTACCAACGTCTCAAGCGACGGTGCACATCAGCTGAATTTATAGGTTTTCAAACGAAACCTAACAAAAACTTACACAAAATAAAACCTCAAATAGCGGCTTTAATTCTCCAGAGCTTACATACCTTTTAAATCTTCCCTTAGGCTGAAGATACAAACAAGGGAGATGGCAATCAGGCGGCGATAACGAAGCATTCCCGAAAAAAACCCTTTAAGAGGTTGGAGGAGCAACCTCTGCAGGAGACATCGAACTACCCCTCCAAGTGAAAATAAATTCATGTATTTAGACGCTTTCCAGACTTAATAAGTAAATAGAAAGGAAATGGTCAGTTAGGAATAATTAGTAGTAAAACCATTAAATAGTTTAAAATTTAAATAGTTTAAAAATCCATTTTACATTTCTGCATCTCAGCACTCTGCAGGGCTGTGCTGGTTTCTTCTCTTCCTGCAGGACTGCTGGCAACAGTAGAATTTTTATTAGTTTTTTAATTGCTACAGATGTAGAAATACCAAAGTGAAGAGGACGTGGCATTTATACAGTAAGACTG